AGAGAGAGAGAGAGAGAGAGAGAGAGAGAGAGAGAGAGAGAGAGAGAGAGAGAGAGAGAGAGAGAGAGAGAGATGATACACGAGACGATATCCGCGAAATTAAACAGTACTGCAGCGAGCTAAACTCTACTCACAGCTGAATCCAGAAGGGAACAATCCTTAGAGAACACTGCGAGGTTTCCGACACTAGAACTAGAGAGGGTGCTTAAACTATACCGGTGATAGGGAACCGGACTGTTAGATGAAGCCGAGTGTGGTATTATGTGACACAAAAGAACTGCACAGGTTACTCAGAGCAAGATATATCTTATCGTTAAACAGATAGTTATAAATATATTTATGACGGTATATACACATACATGTCCTTCCCTCCCTTTCTGCCTCCAGCTCACCTGGCAGTTCTCTCTTACCATTCAGAGAGAACTGCCCTGTGAACCGTACGCAGAAGGGAAGAAGAAGACAACAAACAGGCGTACAACTCAACTTTTTCTTTTCTCTGCTTTTCTATGTCTCTATGAACGAGTCCATGATGAACCGTTTCATCCTCCGGCAACTAATCCTAGATCAACGGATTCTCACACACATGACGAGTGGTGGAGCGAGAGGCAATATCTAAAATTAGAAGAAGAAAAAGAAAAGAAAAGACGAAGACGAAGAAGAAGAAGAAGAAGAAGAAGAAGAAGAAGAAGAAGAGGAGAAAGAATAATGATAAATAAGCTCCAAGAGAGAGGGAACAGTGGAGATAGCCGTTCTTAACATTCATCGAAATTGAACCGTTACGATTCAGAGAAAACGCACTTAGCATGGAGATAGCCGTTCTTAACATTCATCGAAATTGGACCGTTACGATTCAGAGAAAACGCAGTTAGCATCGCCGCTTTGGCAATCAAGGATGACATCATGACACGCATAAGTGGAGAATTTCTACTAAAAACTAAAAAGGAAAAGGAGGGCAGACCATTGATCTCACTTACCGTGCAACGCATCTTGCAGCGCTTCCGCATCCACCTCGGCTCTAAATCCTTCAGCTGCTTTGATCGTCGCCATAGCCGGTGCTCCTCCGCTTGTATGACCAACTGTCTGTGTGAGCGTGTGTGCGCGCGTGTGTGTGTGTGTGTGTGTGTGTGTGTGAGAGAGAGAGAGAGAGAGAGATCGCCCGCCTCGCTAGCAAGCAGTCAGACTCAGCTCAAACTGAATCGTTCCCCCGGTGATTGACGGG